TGTAAATCTATGAATATCATAGAAGCATTTATAATATCCCAAAAGTGGAAATTTCCCAAATGGCCACTGACTGGTTAACAGATGTGGTATATCCGTAACTGGAAACTTATTCAGCAATAAAAAGGAATGAAGTACTGATCCATGCTGTAGTATGCATGATCGTCAAGAACATTATGCTGAGTAAAAGAGGCCAGACAAAAAAGACCATGCAGTGTATGATTCCCCATTTATATGAGTTTTCCAGAGAAGGCAAATTTATAGTGACAGAAATTAGATCAGTGGTTGGCTGGGGCTAGGGCTGAGAATGGACACAAGGAATTTTGGGGGGTTGAATGGAAATGGAAATGGAAAAAAACTGGATTTTGGTGATAGTTGCACAATTCAGCAAATTTACTAAATTTGTACACTAAAGACAGGTGAATTTGTGGCATGTAAATTATACCTTAGTAAAGTTGTTTGGAAAAAACCCAATGAGCAAAGTTTCTGATGAGCTTGTTGATATCACCAATTGTTTAATGTAAATAAAAAGTGAAATTATATAAAACAAGTTGATATGCTATATTGCATTTAGATATTAGAAAATCAAAATAGCAATATTTGTGTTTCACAGTCTAACTTAAACAAAATTTTCTTGTTCATGTAATGAGGAAAATCTGTTTCCAACCTACTGATTTCGACATACCAAATCATAAGCGATTCTCCCCTTTTACATTTTGCCAACAAGTATGTCCTTGACTATGAATGGTTAATATGGTATACAATAATATTTTGCCCAGAGTGAAACATTCATGAAGAGAGTTCATGGCTAATAACAATTAATTAAGGTCTTTTTAGGATTCTTTTGTCTATAATTAAAATGCCAATAGAGTTTGGGACAGGATGTTTTAATCTGATTTAAATTCTTTTTCAGTATCCAGCACTGGTTCTTATTTTACATGTTAGTAATTCTTGAATGAGTAGATAAGATTGTAAGTTTATATTTTAAAGTAATTAATTGCCAACCAGAAAGAAAATAAACTGAGCACAGTTTATAAGGAGGCAAATGTAAGTAAAAGAAAAAAAAAAGAAATAATACATTCTGTTTCTGTGAAGGGTAGTGTAGGATTGCCTTAATTGGTGCCTCCACCATGAAAGGCCATTTGTAGAGGACAAACAGCTGTCCTTGTTCAGATATTCCCCTTGTCCACAGAGACCATATTAAGAAGACATTATTTATTTATTTATTTTTCCTTTTTCTTTCATCATATTATGAGGGTACAGATATTGTTAAGGTTACATATATTGCCCCTGCCATCCCTCCCCTGCCCTGTCAGAGCTTCAAGTGTGTCCATCCTCCCGGTGGTGTGCACCACACCCATTAGGTAAGTATACACCTTCCCCTCCCCCCCTGCCCCCACTCGCTAAAAGTTTTTTTGTTTTTTTTTTTGACATTTTGGTTACATTTTGTATCTTTGCCTCTCCCTAAGAGGGGTTAGAGGTATGCCTTCCCCCTCCACAATGCTCACCACATTCCTAAGATGTGGGTTCTGCCCCCTAATCCCTGGTGAACGCTACCACCATTTGAGCACCATAGTTTTTAATCAATCAGTACCAATTTGATGGTACATGTGGAGCCCATTTTCCTGACCTCGTGTGGCCTCATTTTGGATAACGGACTTAAGCTTAATCTAGGATAGTATAAACGGTGCTAGCTCACTGTTGTTTCTTAGAATTGAGTGATATTCCATTGTGAGTATATACCAAATTTCGATTATCCACTCATAAATTGACAGGCACTTGGGTTGTTTCCATGTCCTTGCAATAGTGAATTGTGCTGCCATAAATATTCAGGTGCAGATGTCTTTATAATAGAAAGTCTTAAATAGAACTGAGATACCGGAGATGAAACCATCAGCATACAGTAACTTAATCTTTAATAAAGCTGACAAAAATATACAATGGGGAAAAGAATCTCTCTTCAATAAATGGTGCTGGGAAAACTGGTTAGCTACGCAGAAGATTGAATCAGAATCCCTACCTCTCACCTCTCACAAAAATTCACTCAAGATGGATAACAGACTTAAACTTAAGGCATGAAACATTAAGAATCCTAGAAGAAGATGTTGGGAAAACCCTATCAGACATTGGCCTAGGCAAAGAATTTTTGAGGAAAACCCCCAAGGCAATCACTGCAGCATCAAAAATAAACAAATGGGATCTGATCAAATTAAAAAGTTTCTGCACAGCCAAGGAAACCATCAGTAGAGCAAATAGACAACCCACAGTGTGGGAGAAAATATTTGCTCTCTACACCTCTGATGAAGGTCTAATAACAAGACTCTATCTGGAACTTAAAAGAATTAACAAGAAAAAAGTCAAACAACCCCATCAAGAAATGGGCAATGGAAATGAACAGAAACTTCTCCAAGAAGACAGAATAATGGCCTGAAACATACAAAAAATGATCAACATCTCTATTCAGCAGAGAAATGCAAATCAAAACCACAATGAGATACCACCTAACCCCAGTGAGAATGGCCTATATCAAGAAATCCCAAAACAACAAATGCTGGTGAGGATGTGGAGAGACAGGAACACTCTTACACTGCTGGTGGGACTGCAAATTAGTGCCACCTTTGTGGAAAAGAATTTGGAGATACCTCAAACAGCTAGAAATAGAAATACCATTCGACCAAGCAATAGCATTGTTAGGCATCTACCCAAAAGAGCATAAGAGGACATAATTTTAAGAAGAGTTAGAAGAAAGAATGAATGTCCTGACAGGTTGGTTTACAAAAGAATGGGATTATGAAGGAGGCTATGCAGGCTTCTCTCTGGGAATCCTAAAAGTATACTGAATGTGAACATAGGTATTTATGCATGAATCTAAAAAAAGTATATTACACTAAAAAATGTAGACTTTTTCCTTCATGTTCAGAACTTGATGTAATTTATAATTCTGAGTTAATATTTATTTAAAATTGCGAAATATGTATTGTCTGAAGGACAAGAGAGTAAATTTTAAAATCTTACGACCTGGCAATTTTTGGTATAGGAAGTGTGCTTATTTATAAGGTTGACATATCTTCACGTATACTTCAAAGATCGTCTTTTTCAAAAATGAGATTTGTAGCCAGCACATCTGTTGTTCTTATGCAGGGGATTAAAATGAGCTATTTTTGTTGAAGTTCAGCTGCAGAGTATCAAAATGTTAACCAATTCACCGAAAAAGTTATCTATTCTAGATTTTGTTTCTTTATGTTGAACTTTTAAAATGTTTTCTTCTATATGAGAAAGTCTCATTCTTCATTTAAAAAATAGAAGTTTTATGTGATTTTAAGTTGTGTTTTTGTCGTACTGTAGCATTTATATGCATCTAAGCCTTTCTAGCTTGGCATTTTGAATGTTAAATCGAAGTTTGGTTTTCTTAGTAGCTGTTTTTCATAAAAATTATGCCAGCAATATTGACTCTTCCTCCTTTGAATGTGAGATTGTTTTGTTCTTACAAAAATCTGAATTAAACTTGTTCTAGCTTTCCCCTTGGAATGGAATAATGCCATTCATGTGGGGCTTTTCAGGAAAACCTGAGTGGCATCTTGTATTCCCAAGAATTAATAAACTGTTTTCCTAACAATCCTTGTGTATGGAAAAAATATGAATTGGTCAGGCCTCAGGAAACTTACCTTTCTCTGATTGTAATCTCTCAAAACAGGAATAACAAAACTATAAAATTAAAAAATATTTAGTTTTTGATTCAGTTCTGTTTAGAAGAATGTTTACTGATCATCCAAAAGGTTCATCAAAGTAAGTTACAGCAGAAGGAGGGATAGAGTAGAAATACCAGTACCAGCTTTTGAGTCGCCCATAGTCTAAATCAGTCCTTTTGAAACTTTAAACTGTATATGGATCTCCTGAACGTACTGTTAAAAATGCAGATACAGGGTCAGGGGGTCTGTGACAAACAGAGGACAAACAACTGTCCTTGCCCTGAGTCTGCATTTCTAATCAGCTCCAAAGTGATGCAGGTACTGCTGGTCCATAGATCACACTTTGAGATTTAAGTATCTAAGTGAATTGTCCCTAATATTCATAGAAAGTCTTCCTATATACCATACAAGACATACATTTACTAAGGTTTTTATCATCCTAATAACTGAGCCGGACAATGGTACAGTCATCTGCTAGAGCCAGAGATCAGATCTTGTAATATTAACTTAACCTGTAAAGAATCCGTGACTATGGGCCTTATTAATACTGTCTTCCTAACTGGGCTGCCCACAGAACCAAAGAGACTGACACAGAAATAGAAATCAGATTGTTAATATTTATAGATGATTTGGACTGCCCAAATATGTTTAGGGTATGGAAAGTATTATCTTTATTAGTTAGTTTTGATTTTCTGAACTCTTGTTAACCTGGTGAGAGAAGAAAATCTCCGCTAGATGGAGAGTAGTCATTGGCGCTGATGGCTTCAGGGCCCAGGCAGGGAGCCCGGGAATGAGAGCGTGGGGTTGGAGCAGCTGGGGCTGTGGTGTCTGGAGAGAACATGCTTCATCTCATCACTGCCATGTAGCATGGCAGCCCAGCATGGGCAGACTTTCTAAATTTTCAAGAAAAGTCAAAGATACAAATTTCATGTGAAATTTTACAGTGTTGGCTACTAATTTAAATTCTTTAAAAACATTATTCAGTCCAAGAAAATACATCTGTCTCCCAGATTCAGCTCATGAGGCACCCATTCACAGTGTCTAGTGTGGAATACATCAAAGTCTCTTAATGTACTTCTCATGATTGGAAAATTATGCATTTTCTTTTTTTGTTTGTTTGTTTTTAGTGTATTATGGGGGTACAAATGTTAAGGTTACATATATTGCCCATTTTCAAAATGAAACTCTCTAGCCTTTTTTCTTTGGACACTTTGGTCAGAAGAAATAGTCTCTGTTTTGTGCATTTTGGAGGCACTGGTATAATATTGGTATATGATCATAAAACCTGTCTTTCCTTTTTCTCTCACGTTCCAGATTACAGGACAGGCCCGTGTTTCACTCAGGTCAACAACCAGATGTGCCAGGGGCAGCTGACAGGCATTGTCTGCACGAAGACTCTGTGCTGTGCCACCATTGGGCGGGCCTGGGGCCATCCCTGTGAGATGTGCCCAGCCCAGCCTCAGCCGTGCCGCCGGGGCTTCATCCCCAACATCCGCACCGGAGCCTGCCAGGGTGAGTCGCTTCCGCCTGTGCGCCTCCACACAGTGGACAAGCACTCTTCTTTTCCTGGAGTCGGGCGTCTGGCACTGTGGATGGTGACCTTTTACAATAGCCGTTTCCAAGAGAGGCCTGTTAACAAGCCTGACCAGAGATGTTTTATCTTTTAGCCACCTAATAAATATGTTTCAATGCTTGACATTAATGGAGAAGAGAGAAAGAGATGACAATTTGAGGAAAATTTAAAAATATAGTATAAAATATTTAATATAGTCAGAGGATGGACCACTCTGTCTTAATCCAGATGACAGGACACCTCCCACCCCTCATCCCCAAACTATACATATGCAAATACCCAGGAAAAACATATTTTTCTCTCTCTCTCAATCTCCTTCACGTTATGAAAACCTGAACCCAGGTAATGGGGAGAAGGGAGCCACCCAATATTGGCCCTTTATTAACAGTGTCTTCAGAGACAAAGTGTGAACTCTGTTCATGACTGTAGTTACTTCAAAGCTTGTAACCCTGGCGGGATATAATCTTATTTCCAAGTCTTGAAACTCTCCAACCACATTTAGGGCTCTGAGGATGCTACCAACAGTAGACTCCAAGCAGCTAAGCAGTTAATTATCTTAATTAGTTTTTAGTCACGACAACTCTTACCTCTTTTAAACTAATTCTGTTGCATGTATTAAATCAATTTTTAGAGCTTGCAAATATTCTCTTTAATGAGATCTCAAATGGTCATTGCTTTAATATTACATAGCACTGGGATCATTGGAAAATGGAAATGACTTTTGTAATGTTCACAGAAATTATATTACTCATATTTGAAACTTGGAGAATTAGGTTTATTTGTTATAATTAAATCATATACAAAATTAGATCTGAAGTCTTTAAAATTGATGTTAGTAAGCAATGTCTGAAATAAAGATGCTATCTACCCTGCCCATGTGAATAAATAGTATATTGTAGAAAAGTAGTCCAGTGTCCTAAAACCCAAAGGAGAATTGTAGTTTGGGGAGCCGGTACACAGCCTCAGTTCACTGAATAATAAAATGTGAGTGCTCTGCATAATTTGGTAAATGTAACCCTGACAGTAGCCCCCAAAGATCTTTGTTAAGTGTTATAGTTTTATAAAAGGTTAATATTTTTAAAATGACCTATATCTGTACTCTTTTCATGTCAGAACTACAGGAATACCCAGGGGATGACTATATAACTAAAAAATTCATCAACTTTATATCACATATGAAAGCCATGTGAGCTGTGCATCTAGAATGGTTTTTTTAGTGACTATCACAGGTCAGAATTTAATGATGAAGATTGGATTATATGCCATTTTTAATCTTTGTTTACTTTGGACAGTAAAATTCTACATCTTTTATATGAATACTAGTCTGATTATACAGAGTTCCTGATAATGCAACCATTTCTTCTATAAGAAGATATACTATACTACATTCTATGTAGTCTTTACTGTACTACCTAGATTTCACAGATTAGTATATGAATTACCATATAATTTATATAATATACATAGATTACTATTGAAAGTAAAATTATTATACTGATTTACTAGATTAATTCTCACTGGATTCATTAGAGTAATACTTTTTCTTTACTCTATGGCCCTCATTACCTTCTAATATATTTATTTTATTATTTTTATTTTCTCTGAGCTAGATTGTAAGCTCTGTAACAGCAGAAATCTTGTTTATTCACCAAAGTTTCAGGCATCTAGAATAGTGCCTAACATGTACTAGATGCCAAATAAATATCTTTTGAATTAATGGATTAAAATTGAAACACTTCCAAAACCCACTATTTCAGAGAAAAGCAAACAGTTCAGGTTGAGAAAAACCTTTAACTTCAATAGGAACTTACCACATTATTGACTTTCCTCATCTTCTGTATTTATACTTACGCCTTTTTACTTTGCTATTTTGTCAGAGAGGTCTAATTTTTCCAAACACAATTATGAAAAAAATGTATCATCTGATCTCAAAATTACTGAATATCCTTCAGGATTTAGTAATGTCTGAAGGCTTATTTACTTGATTTATATATATGTATATATATATATATATATATATATATATATATATATATATATAGCAAAAATAAGTTTCAGGCTCCATTTGCCTAAAAATCTAATGGATTAACACAGTAATGGAAACAAAATGAAATTTGCCACATGGTTAAAATGTCTGGAAAAGCACGTTGAAAAGTTCTGCTTTATTTCAAAATCATGGCATAGTCAGAAAGTTCTCCATTAAATACTAATCCTCAGTTCAGGCTATTTTAAGACTACATCTTACTGTGATTTCATTTTCCCTTTTAAATTCCTAGACTGTTTCCCAAATACTTATGCCAAATTAATCTGGAAGAGATGGGGAGTGAAAAAAATAACACAAAACATGGAACATATATGTCATACTTTTTAATGATAGTGATCATTTTTTGATGATTCAAAAGTTTTATACAGTTAACAATAAATTTAAACTATGGGGATGATAACTGTAAATAGCTTCATATTGGCTGTAAAACATGGTTCATATTAGTTCTGAACATAATGATATTCTATAGCTAATATAATTAGCTTATAATTATTACCTTATGGCTTAAGAGGATTGAAACATAATCTTGTTATAAGCACGATAACTGTGGAAAATAAAGGATAAAAGAAAATTAAAGTGCTACTTACAAAATTAAGCTGTGAGAAAATCAGTAATTTTATTTTATTTTTGACTATTGCCTTGATGACATTCTGGACTTAAATAAGCAATGTCAGAAAGATGTACATTCCGACGGTTCTATGAGGTCAGCCATAAAAATTCTTGACTGCTTTAATATTGGAAGCCATGTGAGTTCTAGCCCTTGTGCTTAATCTACATTTAATATTATACTTTCTTCCATTTTGTTTTGTATACTAAAAGACCAGTGTTAACTCATGTAAGTCCTTAAAATTTTAGCTATCATAAAATGAGTAAACTAAAAAATTTAAAAGTAGTAGCATTAAGCCTTTTTCCAGGAATATTTACATTTACATTTTTATTAAATATTTATTGTAATTATTTATTTACATATTTAAATATGTCATAAACTGCCATGTGCATATTATATATTATTTTCTTACAAATAGTTTCTTTTTTTTCTATCTTTAGTGTCATGAATATATGCTAATTAGAAGTGACATTTTCTTTAAAATTAGTACTTGGCTTTGGGTCTTTTAGGTATTCAAATGAATAGGCTGCACATAAAATTTTTTTAAATATATTAAAATAAAAGCTGCATAGTTATTAATTTATGACATTTAATGTTTATTCTTTTAAGGCTTTTATACTACTTTAAATGTTTCAAAACTGAAGATATAGCTAAAGACATTTGCTTGTTAAAATTTCATCTCTTGCTTTATCATTGGTGATAGTAACAGATCGATGCTTTACCTCTGCTCTGTTCTAAGTAACATGAGAGGCATGGGATTTCACATATTCAGCACAGTCAGGCCCTAGCTAGGACACAGGATAAGGACTCAAAAAAAGAAATAGCAAAACATATCCTAAATCAGTCCCTGCAAAACATATGCTGTTGTGTGTTCTTTTCATATGGTATTGGTGTGCAGAAATATGTAATTTCTTTAGTTTAACTGCACGTGAAAAGAAAGAGTTTAAGAAAGAGTTTAATCTCAGCTGAAACCAGGCAGGTACTGCTAGCTCCTCAGGTATAGAATGAAAGGAAGATGCCCTTCATAGAAAGTTGTTTCTAGGCCATCTACATAGCACAATGTGAAAAGGAAATTTTGCTTTTATCTGATTCATTTAATTAGTATAAATTATTAAAGAAAGTTACTGCCAAAACAAGTTTATCTTGGCTGTCTACATTGACTGAGTTAACCAAATTATTATAAAGTCTAACTTTAATTCATGCTTTGTCAACACAAGCTATTCCTATAAAATTCAGAAACTTCACTCAAAACATACTCAATTATAGAAACTCTTATTTAAAGATAGCAGAATATTTGCCTTCTTTTAATCCCACAAAACTATTATGAAAATGAATAATAGAGAAAACACAGCATTCTAAAATAAAATTCTATCATACCCAAAATTAAAGGCAGTGCACACATGCTGTTGTTGGGAAGTTATTGCAACAGGGAGCAGACCATTTCCTGTGAATGTCACCGGCCTAAAAGGCTATCCGGTGGGTGTTTGTTTGAGCCTACTAAGAGCAGAGAGCGAGTCCTGTGGATGTCCATTAGAGGAGAATGTGCCCCTGCGAGGTAGAGCTATTTCAGACCCTCACAGTAGCGGGAGGGTAGCGGAAGGAGAAACTGTGGGGGCAAACCATTTCTAAGTGTCCTCTACCAGCATTGCAGCCCAGAGATGTTCCTGTCGGTAAAAGAGGGGGAAGGAAAATGAGGAACTAGGGATCACCATCAAGCAATCTGTAACTTAGTGGCCAAAGGTAGGAGTGACACTACCAACTGAAAGCTGAAAATTGATACTCAAGGAAAAAAATAGGTAGGAAGTGAAGTTTGGTGAGAAACTGTTTCAGGCAATATTCCCTGTAGAAGATTCAAAAACCCCATTTGTTCTGGGCTCTCCCTACTCTGTGTTTGAGGAAGAAATGGCCCCATTGAAAGATGAGTAATAAAGAGAAAAGACCTATCCATAAAAAAGGAAGAACATAAGGAAAAGGCAGGTGAAGAATTACTACCCAAATAAATGCACAGCTCATATACTTCTCTCTTTTCTCAAGGAAATTAGAATCAATATCACCTTTCTTTTAAAAGGTGCTCAAAGGAAAGTATGAGTTTAGTGAAGACAGTCAAATGAGATAAAAAGTGAATTGATAGTACTCAAGAAAGACATTGAAGAGAATCTAAGACTTTACCTAATTAAATAAAGGTAAATAATACATACCACTGAAAAAACTTGTTGCTACAGGGTTAAGCTTGAGGAAGTCACCTAAATCATAATGTCAGAGAACAATAGATAAACAATGATTAGAGA